CCGACGATCGCCAGCAGTTACATAAGCAGACCTGCAACCTGTTGATTCATTGAACCAATAGTCAAGGCTGTCTCTTTTCTTGCAGCAGGCACCGGCTATTATTGGTTGCCCTATGTTATCTGCGCGCAACATGAATGTGCGGACTAACTCCTAGATCACTCGCTCGAATAACAACACCGTGAATCGCACCACGCTGTATTCAATATCGCGCTTTCGGCGCCCCAACTGCCCAGATATTTCTCGGCTTCACATGTAAAATAACCTTAATTTTCACAAGGCGTTAAAATTCCTGTAGTTTTTTCAGTTTGATCGTCACATTGTAAGAAAACATCATGGAATTCGCTAAGGAATACGAAAAAATCGTAAGGAGTTGGCAGGGGTGCTGCCGATAAGCCTCAGCAGCCTTCCGCGGGGAGCTGCATGGGCGCACCCCGGGACCGCGCGCCGGGCGGCGCTGAGCGGGGCGGCGGCAGTGTCCGCTCGTTTTCCGACGGCGGAATACCCGACGGGCGTCGCCCCCGCCGCAGAACCGATTAGCGTGCTCGTAATAATCGGGTAGAGAGGCAAATTGTTTTCCGTGACAACATACAGCAACTGGCTGTGTTTTGTGCTGCGAGGCTGAGAGAAGGAGAGAGAGTAGAGTGCGGTGAAGCATAACGCGGCTACGTATCGCGATCACGCTATAATGATATACTCGCTCTGTGGCGCCAATGTGGCTGCGCTGCCTGCTCTTATATTCTTGGGCGGTCGCGTGCATGCGTGTCTGCTCTCTCTCTGTCTCGTCTCTCTCTCTCTCTCTCTGTCGTTCTCTCTCTCTCTTCGTGCTCTCGTCTTCTTCTCTCTCGTCTTCTCTCTCCTCTCTCCTCTCTCTCTCTCTCTTCTATCTCTCTTACTCTATCTATCTCTCTATCTCTCTCCTCTCTCTCTCTTCTCGTCTCCTCTCTCTCGTCTCTCTCTCTCTCTATCTCTCTCTCTCTATCTCTCTTTCTCCCCTCTCTTATCTCTTGCGCCAGTGCCTGGGTATTATAGTCGTCGTCGTTGCGCATCTTTTATCGAGGCGAAAAAGACAATTTAGGGGTGGATCATGTTTTCTTAGACCTAGGGCCCGTATTATTAGCCTATGAGCGTTACGTGCGTGAGATTTTCGTTTCGCAGTAACTAGCAGAGTGCACTCACAGAGGTAGCATAACCTCAGCGAGCCGACTTACGCCACCCCCCCCCCCCCCCTTACGTACTCACGAGCACACCCCAACGAATAACGACGATATACGCCAGCATATGACATGCTACACGCTTTGGCTTGCTGGCTTGAGCCCGCTCGTTGCTGTTGCTCCGTCAAATGTACCACGCTCTCTGGTCGCTGCTGACCGCTAATATCGTCGCGTTCTACGAACACACGACATCACTAACACACAAACACACGCACACGTATTGTGCTGAAAACTAACATCTCAATTCCGTTGAGGCCAGAGGCAATTAGACTAATCGCGCTTCAATGAATGCAAGAATCACAGGGGTTATAGCTAAGGCATGTGTCTATAGAAATTACGAGAAGAGATTTACCCTTTTTCATTGAGAGAGAATTAAACGCAAAGTTTTGCTTCGTTAGGCCATGATAAATATTGTTCTTTGCCCTCACCCCACCTGACCCACCAAAGGGGAAGGCCAACTCAAAAATTTTACTGATCTTTCCCATTCTTTTTTTTACAAATTGTATCACTGTACATTATATAAATCTGTGGGCAATACATATATGTACCAAGCAAAACAATCATTCAACATAAAAGGTATCTCCACACAAGCACACCTGAGTATGTAGACACCATGCTGAATTTGTAAAAATACCTCCCTCAAAAAAAGCCTATCTACCTACCCAAACTTTTCAGCCTACTAGATCGGGTGAGGGCAAACAAAGATTTTTTAATTCTGGCCTTACCCTCGCAGGATATGCACTCCTTGCCAATCCCCCGCCCTTCAACAGTGACAGACGCTTCCTCACGGTGTTCAGCTCCTCAATTGTGGCACCAGATGCCGCCAGTAGCGTTGTCACCTCCTTCTTCTCATGCAGCGAGACTGGAGGGATAGGAGATGGAAGCAAAGCCGAGCCTCCGCCTGATACAAAGTATAAAAAGCTAAAATTTATCCACCGTAAAACATTAACTGCACCAATCGTGTGATTTTATGAAGAAATGTTGTGAAAGTAGCAATACAAATAAGTTGTAATTACTTTTTGCAACATAGGCGAGCTCACAGTAAGTATATATATATGCATCTAGCTGCGAGGTTTATCCACTTTAACAATCGTGTACACTAAAACCTGTATATCAGGATCACTGAAGGGAAGTGCTAAGTGTCCTTTCTAGACAGGTGTGCTTTCTAAACTGTCTGCTAACACAGGTTTGACAATAGTAGGTTGGCACTCCGAGTAGTTGCATGGAATATTTTCATGAGTCTATCAAAATTGGCAGACTCCTGATATTTTCGCAAACAACTCACATATACCTGACACTAGAACTATTAGAATGTCCCGCTCTGTAAGACCGTTTGCCAGATAGAATATTTCCTCGGCTGCACGTTCTGCATCTTCATCCGGCAAGTTGTCCACTGCTCCCTCTAACACCCTTACCACACTTCCCTCACGCGGCAACATGTCTCTGAAATAGATCAAGAAATACAGCCAGACCTCATTGAAACCCTCACCCTGCATGCCATTGACTGCACTGCCTAGTGATGCTCAAGGGGTCGTTGTCGTATCAGGTACTACAGATATGTATACACAAAGTGTACCAGACTTGTACTACAGAAGTGTACCCTAATCCTAACACTAACCCTAACTCTAATCCTAACCTTAACCCTAACTCTAAACATACCTCATATAAAAATATAAACATAATACTAAACAACGTAAAACTACCTCGGGTACATATCTGTAGTACCTGATACGACAACGACCCCATCCGCCCTAGTGATAGCATCGGTGAAGCACGAGGATTCGTTACGCTGCTACTGTGTGGCCATTACAATTGAACATGTGCGCGATGCTCCCTATACCTATTCTATGAAGCTAGTTCTAAAGATTACCTGCTTTTCTTCATGCCTACCCCTTTCCAATCTTCTGCAGCGTTTTCTGTATTCCCACTGGTACGCTGACGACGCCGCCGACTACGTGGCTTCCTAGCATGTCCTCTACAGCTCGAACCATACCAATCACCGCCTTTCCGAAGCCAACAATCCACACGTTGTGATCTAGATGATACCTTTTCCCCTTGACGGTCAGCTCATCACGGTCAACCTGTAAACACAGATAACTGTAATTCGGTTGTTGTCGGTAAACATAACATGAACAAGCTAGGTGAAGTTGTTTCAGCGGCTGGTTAGCCAGTGTTTAATGGCGTGAGCTTTGCTGCATATTAAAGAGAGCAATGCAAGCGCTGGTCGAATTGAGGGGTGCCTACAGTAATGGAAGAAATTCTAGACGAATCATACTGAAGAAGTTCTGTGGACTTTATTGACGTGGTCATTGTACAGTATATTGCGCATAGAAATTATGCCTAAACACGTTTAAGTATATGGATTGTCAAGGGATTTGACATTCACAAAGGTAACTGTAATTCGGTTTGGCGTTGGATTAAGGAAGCCATCTGGATCCGCAAGACCCCGAACATCAACTGTGACGAGGGGGGGATACAGACTCAGTCACGTGTGGACCAAGCTGTTGAACACTACACCATCTGGTGGTCAAATCTGATAACTTCAGTCAGCTTTGATAGGATGCGAAACTACTCAGCAGTACGGTTTGATCAACACGGTTGAGTAAAAATTAACCAAGATATCTCTGTAATTCGGTTGTTTGTTGGTAAACATAAGATGAACATGGGCAAAGTTGCTTCAGCAGCTGGTTAGCCGGTGTTTAATGGCGTGAGCTTTGCTGCATAAGTGAGCGACGCATGCGCGTCAACAAAAGAACGTGATTGTATAACCATGACAGTAACTATCGCTGATAGGGTCTATGTCCCCCAGGGTACTATCCGAGGTTACCCTGGGTACGGTTCGATATATCGGAAAGTACCTCGGGGTACTATACGATATGTCGCTCATGCGTACCCTGCATTGTCCCACCGTACCCTGACTTTCAGCCCTTCGTTTTCGCAAAGCTAGCTCTTCGTTTAAAAAAAAAGAAAAAGAAAAATATAGTCAAACATAGCATACATTTTTATTGGATTGCGATGTTTTGAGGTTTCTTCTATGTGATGTGGTAACTTGACAGAGTGTATGTATTACGACATCAGTTGGCTGAAAGTCAGGGTACGGTGAGACAATGCAGGGTACGCAGCGACATATCGCATAGTACCCCGAGGTACTTTCCGATATATCAAACCGTACCCAGGGTACCCTCCGATAGTACCCTGGGGGACATAGACCTTGTCAGCAAAACTATTAGGTAACTTAGCTCTGCAAACTGGATGCTAAGTGTTACCTATAGCTATACTATCATCCAGATACAACTAATATCAGGTTTCTCCCCAGGCATGAGACGGATCGGTTATGGACGAATGGGGGAAAGCCTGGGAGGGGGTTGTAGCAATTGGAGCTAAATACGCATGCGAAAGTGGCTTCAATGCACAGGTGAACTTAGTCAGTTTGAAAACATACATATATATATACCAAGCTCTGAAAACAGCATGACTGTGTGGGGATTGTCAAAAATAAATATAACTAGAAATTAAGCCATGTTGATTAGGCTGTCAAGGCATGTCAGAGGATTTATTATGGGATATCTCAAATTAGCTTCAGATTTGAAGACATGTCAGACCTGCATGGCCATGACAGACGTGACCAGACCAGACCAGGGTAGAACCATGTCAGACGTGACCAGACCAGACCAGACCAGGGTAGAACCATGTCGTATACCGGTAATAGTAATACATTCATAAGTGTGTTTTTTAACAAATGGGATTAGATCAACTGCTCTTCCCCCAATATGATTAATAATTAAATACCTCCCCAAAACCTAGTCATGAAGATTCATACTGGGTACGGGCTACATGTATTATTATGAATGATCAAGATAAATGGCTACCTACCACCAAATTGTTTTTCATGTTCAGTGATTACATAGGAACAGTAACAGCTTTACGCGCACGGACGTTAATATGACTGCAAATCTCGAGGTTATCGTGTGCATGCATATACATACACAGGCACTTTTTCAATAATAAAATACTTGTGAATAAAGACAAATTGTATTTACTACCAAAGTCTCAATGTTTATGTATTCTCTATTGACTTATAATTCCATGAAAATGTCATTCAAATGCTCTTCTTCAACATCTGGTCTCACTGCAATGCCAACACTGTGCAGCAACTCACTGAAATTGAAAGCTGAGAGTTCTCTACATTTCTGTGAAGTTGTACACAGTGACAGCGCATGCGTGTGGTGACATTCTGTGTTGTACACAGTGACATCGCATGCGTGTGGTGACATTCTGTGTTGTAGACAGGCATTTGAATGGCATTTGTGGGAAATTATTACTAATATAAATAGGCAAGAGAGAGTAAATCAAAATTAAGACTTTGGTAGTAAATACAATCTGTATTTATTTACTATCATTTTATTATTGAAACAGCCCGAGTGCAATTTGCATATATATATATACATACTTGCAGACTCTTCTGAACCATCTGATTGGGTAGCACAGCCTCTACAGCAGACTGGAATATCTTGATTGCATGCTGATCAAGATTTGTCGATGATGCCAAACTTGATCTAGAAATAAATAAAATAACAAGATATGTTAATAGCGAGTTAAAAATGTATTCATGAAATACAGTAAGTGTAAATACTGTACGTGAAATACAGTTCACTAACAGTTCAAATTAGGGACCAAACTTGAAAAAACATAAAGAAGCACAATTATTTTAAGTTATTACTTGTCTTAACACAGTTGAAGCTTCAAAGTTTTATAATATAACAATACATGGTCAGTCCTGAGTCCGACTCTCACCACAGTGAGTTATGAGAAATATCGAGTCACTTGACTAGGATAAATTTGACATTTAGTCTAGACCTTGACTAAGTTAACAGTTTCTCAGGATTTCTTCCAATCCAATCTGTCTGTCAGACTCGGAAGATTGCAAGATGGTACAAAATAATGAAAAATATATCTAAAAAGTTGCTCCAGCGGACAAGCTACTGGACAGGTCTATATATATTTGTCCTCCGTGGAAATGGACAAGTGAGGACAAACGGATAGCCCTTATTTCAAACACTGATATATATATATATATATCATATAGCATATAGTTACATCCTGAAAGTAATTTCTAGCAATTACAAATCATACCTATCTCTCACATTAGCCATTCTTCTAGACCATCTAGTTCTTCTCAGAGCAGCAACAATGCCTTTATAGATGTTCATGGTCATCAGTCGTTATCCTCACATTAGCTAAACAAATACTCAAGTGTAACCACTAACGATAGCGACCTTTAAAGAGATTACGTCACCGTAAATAGTAAAAAAATATTTCCACTTTTTCACAAAATATAAGTAATTCTGTTCACTTTTTATGGTTAAATTGCTGCATTATACTTCCTATTTTACTATATTGTCTGATGTGAACCTACACTCGTGACTTATACATAGCCCATAGCAAGCAATTAATGTCAGGAACACTAATATGAAATCCTCCAGGTTTTTTGGATTTTTAACTAGTTGAGAAACAATCTTATCAGGTAAAAAATTTGACGATACGTTTAGTCCCGTTAGTTCTTACTTTTAATGTAAAAAAATGGCAACAAAATTTTTACAAATTTTACCATAGAAAATTTGTGACGTTGTCAATTTAATGATAATAATAATAATTATGAACATAATAAATATTCGGCTTTTATAATATGCACATCTTGTGAAATTGCTGAGCAAGTGGAGGAAGGTAGATGGGTGAGGAAAGATAGGGAAGCAGGGTGCGAAATAAACGCGAGTCCGGAGTCAAATACTCCCTGATTTACTGTCGAACTCCCTGATTTGACATATATATGCAGAAGTCTGTGTGACTCCCTGAAAATTCTGCCATACTAACTAGTTCGTTCCAGAGAATGGCCTCGTGGAATTACCGTATTTTTCAGCTAATGTCCAAAGATAATTTGGCAGACGTGCAACCACATGAATCTTAAAAACAAGCACATGCGTTATTGTTAATATCTTTAATTTTGAACCTCAGACTGCAGACTCCCTCATTTGGCTGCGGACTCCCACTTTTTGAGGGTATAGGGAGTCCGTTGGACTCCCGTGTTCAAAAGTTCATTTCTACCCTTGGGGAAGTGGAGAAGGTAGGCAAGAGAATTTTCAGTTCGAGCAGAGGGCAGGATGCCAGGATCAAGGTAGTCGAAGGGGAACATGGAGCAAATAAAGCCGGCCTTAGGTCGGATTGCGATTGAATGTGACGCGACGCATTGCAACTCACTGCGACTGAGTGCTTAAGTCGACAGCGATGCGACTGACAGCGACTGACACTGGCAGTCGCAGGCAGTCGCAGAAGGTGCTTAGGTTGAAGACCGCCTATAGATCGCGCAACTAAGTATAATTTGTAAAATATTTACAAATATTTATACCGTTGCCATTATGTCAATAATTGGATCACAGGAGATCCGATAATTCCTGAACATTTTTCCAACTGGAAAGCTATTTCATTTAGATCCCTGTCCCTTTTTACAACGATCGCAATAACTTTTTGACTCAGTGTCGAAAAGTGACGGCCTGTCCGACCATGATTAAATTAATTTTTCTTCAGCTGCCTCTGGCCACAGCTAGAGTCGGTCGCAATTGTGAACAGTTATACATGACTTTTTGCACTGTATATATTTGCATTGTCTATGCATTCGACTCTCATCGCAGGGATCGCAAGGCAGCTTATGTCGGGTAAAACAATGCAAGTGACGGGTGGCAACTAGTCGCATCACGGCGCAAAAGTAGAAGTAGAACATACACGCGACTCGCTGCGACTGACCATTGTCCAGTCGCTTGAGCGCAGACCCGTCATTGGCAGTCGCAGGGGTGCTTAGGCCGAACTGTCCCTGCGACGCGATCGTTGCAGCGAGTTGCAACCAGTTGCAGAAAATCAGTCACAGGCAATCGTGTCGCGTCGCAAGGCTGACCTAAGACCGGCTTTAAGGATGCAGAGGAGGTGAGAAGGCAGAGGAGGTACACGAAGGCAGAGGTGGAGAATTTTGAGTAGAGGAGGCAAGAAGGTAGAGGAAGATATTTACCATATAGTCATTGCAGATATGACATGGATATACAAATCACGCATGATCACACTTTTCGTGGTCGGCAGGCATATATGTATCTAGTACTGCCCCGTGTCCGATCCCCCGCTGGTGCTGGAACACACGGTACGTGTTTGTTAACGTTTGTTGTACATTGGTCGGCCATTGATGGCGTACCAACACTGATCCCGGCATCCGTACTGTGATAATACGGGAAAATATACGGCATTTTGCGATTTCGCAATAGCCGCAGCTGTTAAAGCGTCGTGCTAATGACGCGGGTTCAATCCCCGCATTGGCAAAATATTTTCCCTCATTTATTTATCGCTGCCGGTTTTCATTATATAACGTTTTTTCATTACACCTTCTACCATGTTCGTGCGTCTATCATGCGTCTATCGTAGACCCTATCATGCGTCTATCGTCTATCATGCGTCTATCGTCTATCATGTTCGTCTGTTCTAACTACGTGGAATTATGGGATAGTAACGCTCATAGGGTACGTCTATGTCCCCCAGGATACTGCCGGAACGTACCCTGGGTACGGTCCGGCACACCGGAACGTACCCTGGTAACTATTTGATATGGTTATGGTTAGGGTTAGGATTAGGGAGTAGGCGAGGTACGGTCCGGCATATTAGATATAGTACCAGGGTACGTTCCGGCAGTACCCTGGGTGACATAGACCCTCTCAGCGATACTAACTCGGAGTTAAAACATTTAACTCCGAGTTACTTAACTCAGGATTTAATCCATGTTTATGAAACCCAAATTTAACTCGGAGTTTACTAACTCAGAGTTAGCGAGTTAAACTCAGAGTTAGCTTTAAATCAGAGTTAAAGTTAATCCACGTCCGTGGAATCCACGTCAGGCATTTTCTAAACACGCTTCCCCCCCAACACGTTCGCGATGTGTAACCCTAACCCACACCAAAACCACAAAAATCGTCGGTGTGGGCCATGGTCAGACTCAGAGGAATCTCGGACTAGGTTAGGGATAGGGTTATAGGGTTAGGGTTTTTGCATCATTCCTTTGAATATGACGGAAAGTCTGTGCATCAGTTGATGTAGTCCGAGCCAGTAATGGATATGATCAGTAATCAGTATCAGTAATTAGTATCAGTAATTAGTATCAGTAATGTAATTGATAAACTCGATCGCACCCTTAGATTAGCAAAGCGGAATTTAGTCCGAGCCGACGCAGACCCCAGTAATGGATCCATATGATCAGTAATCAGTATCAGTAATTAGTATCAGTAATGTAATTGATAAACCCGCACCCTCAGATTAGCAAAGCGGAGTTATAACGTCTGCATTTGCGGACTAAGCGGAATTATAACGTCTGCATTTGCGGACTACAGTTTGTCAGTTGATGATACACAGAAATTGTGCATCACTTCGGACGATACCTGTAACATAACCTAAGCCTAAGGCGCCTAAAGTGGATTTGCACCATTTTATCCATAGAAGTATAACATAGTCAGTAGATTTACTAGTACAAAAACTACAATAAAGCCAGTTTACCTAAGAATATGATTTGACATTGACCTGTACTCTGTAGTCTTGACACCGGCACGCATCTGCGCGATAGCCTTGTTGCATGCACGTACATGTTGCATTCGTAAGTACCCGGATGTTTTCAAGGCATTTACGTTTTGGGAAACTGAAACCTTGTACTGTAGTTGTAGACCTCTGCCTCGTAGGACAGACCAAACAGACAAAACCATTTCGGCCGAGAGAAAAGCTTTCATATTGTTAATTCTTATTTTCTTTATCAGTGTCGTTTGGTTGTGAAGGAGCTGCAACTGAGATGTAGGTACGTGCTGAGTTACAGAACACGTTGCATGTCAGACTCATTTATACTGTCTAGATATATGTCAATCGGCGGATAATTCTTGTAAAACGAACCAGGACGAGTGTGGACACCACAGACCTGTTTGTGTCTATGATATATGCTTATAATTGCCCAACCCACCCTAATTGCCATAAATTTTTTTTTAAATATCAAAACCCTAGCCCTTATTCTTCACCGGTGGAGCCGTCCCGCCCGATAGTCGGGCTCCAGGATACCGCAAAAATGAGCAAAATCGTTTGAACCTAAAACCTGGACTGAAGTGCCATGCATGTCCGCCATTTTTTCCGAAAAAATTACCCGGTGGCTCGAAGTACCGTCATCGACCTGGCGTGCTTAAAATAGGAGCCGTTCCATATGGGAGGCATAGCACGTCAGCAACTATACCGCCGCACCATTTCAACTATGTAGCCAACGGTTCCTGAGTTTATCGTTGCAAATGGCGTAGCGAATGTTGACGGAACGGTGACGGACGCCGGAGCGGAGCGTACGACGGACGACCGACCCATGGCGAATGGCTCAGCTTGAGCCGATGTCCAAGGTAAGCTAAGAAATTGGGGTGGCTATTGATGCCCTCAGCGCAATGCTGAACAGGTAGCGCGACCACAAACTTGTAATAATGTGACGAATTTCGGGTGCCTCGTGTGCCCGCGTTTTTTCGGAAGAAGTTCGGTGCTAGACCCATTCCACGCAATCGAAGAAAAAATTGGGATTCTTGGGCGCGTGAGATTTTGGCGTGAGATTCTGCGTGACGATTCTTGCGTGAGAGTTTTCTGAGAGCCTAGTCAAGAAATGTGCGTGAGAGGGCGTGGAGATTGTGGCTGAATTGGCGTGAGTCTGCATGGCCAAACGCGAATGTCAGTCCGTGTCGAGGCTTAATTTTGTGTGAGCCAGCTGGTAACATACATGGCATGATCATTGACCTATTAACTTATTACATGCAGCATGTATGAGTCAATAATGTAACCCAACAAGAGTATAGGGTTGGGTAATGCTACATGAAAGGCGATATGGCGGGCCATATATTAGACTATTTATATAGGGACATTATACTAAGACCTATATATACTGAGTACTGCTGTAGAGTCTGTAACGGCACTATATTACGCGTCCTACAGACTATATCAGCTATATTAACTCGCACCAGGGACCGTGAGCAAAATAAAAAATAAAAATGTGTTATATAAAAAAAGAAGTTCTCTTTTCTTCTCTTTTTAAATAACACATTTTTATTTTTTATTTCGCCTCAGGTGCCTGTGATATTACTACTCTAGTATAGTATAC